ACGACGAAAAAAACCCCAATCGTAAAACTTGAGAGCCAACAGACCAGACCCTTCAGGGAATTAGATATCGGACTACAGTATACACCCACAGACTCACTTGGTATATTTGTTTTCAATTAATCTGTAAAAAGTTTTCGTTTTCTATTATCTTTGTTTAGTGATTAGGAAGAGATCTTATCAATAATAATAATTTCAAAAGTATATTCAAAGTTTGCCCTTTTGACGTTGACACCTTAATGTTATCAGCTTTCGTTTTTATTATTTCTTTCTAATTTTTAAACGTAGTGATGTGGCTTTAAAAATGATTCTTTATGCCTTATCTCTTTCCAAAGAAAATTGAATTTAATGTATTAAACATGAAAAGTACGTATAATCACGCCTTATCGAAGCTTGTTTAAAATTGATATTTTTTTTTTAATTTCTCTTTATTCTTTGTTTTATTAAAAAATTTTAGAAATCATTTATATATTCCAGTCACAATTTTTATTATTTTTCTACGAACTGAGCAATAAATCACCTATGCCTGACATTTATTATAAAGGCTAAGAAACAGCAGTGATATATATATATATTTTTATACCCTTGCAGGGTATTATAATTTCAGTCAGAAGTTTGCAACGCAGTGAAGGAGACGTTTCCGACCCTATAAAGTATATATATTCTTGATCAGCATCAACAGCCGAGTCGATCTAGCCATGTCCGTCTGTCCGTCTGTCCGTCTGTCCGTCTGTCCGTCTGTTTGTTTCTACGCAAACTAGTCCCTCAGTTTTAAAGCTGTCTGAATGAAACTTTGCATATAGTCTTCTATATACTCTCACTGCTATATATGTCGGAACGGGCCGGATCGGACGACTATATCATATAGCTGCCATACAAATGTTCGATACATTTTTAGAAAAAAAATTATAACTTGGCTGTTTTTCAATATTATTGAATCATTTTTGAGATATAGCCATTTTATATTATTCCAGAATTTTGGTAAAAATTTTATGAAAATCGGACCACTATATCTTATAGCTGCCATAGGAACGATCGGAAAATTAATCGAAAAAACTTATAACTTCGTTGTTTTTCAACGTATTTTAATCTACTTTAAGACATGAGCTTCTGGTATTATTTCAGAATTTTGGTATAAATTTTATGAAAATCGGACGACTATATCTTATAGCTGCCATAGGAACGATAGGGAAAGTAAAAGAAAAATTAGAACTTCGTTGTTTTTCAACGTATTTTTATCTACTTAGAGACATGAGCTTTTAGTATTATTTCAGAATTTTGGGAACAATAATTTGAAAATCGGACAACTATATCATATAGCTGCCATAGAAGCGATCCGTAGATGTAGAGAAAATGTAAAGCTGTGAATGTATAACTGTAACTGTCAAACTGTAAACATAATAAGTATAGGTAAAATGTTATGAAACTCTGTTTAGTGTCTGTTTTCGGCATTATTATTTATAATATAAATATGAAAACCAATCTGCAAGGGTATACAAACTTCGGCGTGCCGAAGTTAGCTTCCTTTCTTGTTTAAAATAATTTGCACAAACTCATAGGAGAAATTAGTCTTAAAAAACCCAAAAAAAAATTATTATTTATATATATATTGTTGTAATACTTAAGTTTTACTGTTCGGTCACAAGAAAAGGTCAGGCACTCCTCATAGCCCCAACCAATTGAATATTAAATAAGTTTGTATCTATCAAAACAACTTAGGGCAGGTCATCATTAGCATCAAGAACCTGAAACTATATAGATGGGTAAATCCAGTTGTTTACAGTTTTATAGAATGCCTGCTAATTTTAAATTTTTAAGAAAGTTATCTACATAATTGAGACCCAGCCGAGTTACCTACTTATCCAAGCCTACTTACCTCCAGACCATATTTTCAATTGAATGATGCAATGAGAAGTGAATTTTTGTTTGCTCATTGTGCCATGCAAATTAGGGGACCCACAAAAAAAGACAGTAATTAATAATGCGGTAGCAACAAAGAAAAGAAAATTTAAATAAAAGCCCTCGCAATTAGAGGGATGCTGTCCCATCTCCACTTTCGAGTTGCATAAACGGAAAACACACAAAGAAAGCCACTCTTTTTTTCGTTCGTTTGTTATTAACTAATCACTTGAGTTTGACCAACTCGCAACTCTGTTTTTATTTTGTTGGTCCGTTGGCTTGTGACATTTTAATCATAAACCCTAGGAATTATGCAATTAACGAAGAGAGTAAAAAAAAACAGATCTCCAGGTTATTACGTAACGGTCGAGGCGGGGTCTTCCATGTTGGGTCACCAAAAAAATAGACAATAGACGAGCATCTAGCATGATACAAAGCCAAGCTGGGGAAAAAGAAGCAAAATCAAAACAAAATCGAAGAGAGGGAGGAAAACTGGTTGGTTGATGGACAGCAACAGGGCGTATGAGCAATGTCCGTATAATTTCAGCAAAATCATTATCAATCAAGATCCAGACTTGTAATGATTTCAATTGCCATGAAAGGTGGTAAGAAAACTGGTTACTATCGAGTACCTAATTGCTCTAAATGCATGGTTTTGCTTTTGATTATATTATTCAAGTATTTTTTTCTTTAGTGAAATGGTCTTTAAGGCTCTATTTATCATCTTTAAAGCGCCTGTTTCATGTATAAATGTACCAAAATCAATGACTTTATTATTAATCAAGATCAGCCTTCTTGTACATATATTTTAAGAGCTATTCCAAGAATTGATTCATCCAAAAAATGGTGGGTAATCTAAGCAAACAGCAGGCGGCGCAGCTGTTCCTGCAATCAAGATGAACGCTGACTATATAGCATAAATGGTAGTAGTAGTATATAGTCTAGTATCTGCAACTGTGTGTAGCACTGGCAAGTGCAGGTACAATCACAATGGAAAAATTCAGCAAAAAATATAACAAAAATAATACGAAAAGCATACAAAAAACTTAATGTTTTTTGTTTCTGCTTTTCGTAAGCAACTTTGAGTGGTGGTGCAACAACAACTGCCGCCGACGAGTTGCAGTCGCCGCTACAACAACTTTTAAGCCGGGGAGCGAGTTATACGGGGTTTTGCTTTGGCTGTTAATTTATGTGTGCGAACGAGGTGGTGTGCCAGTGTGTAAGTGTGTGTGCCGGTGGTGGAGTACCTTTAATTTTTAGTGTGTCGCGGGGGCTTTTTTTTTCTTGTATCCCACATATATACCCTACCACCAGCTGTGGGGCATATCGCCAGCAGACACTTGTACATAATTTACCAGTTCCTGCCTCCAAATCACCATTAGCTGCATCTAATTGAGGCGATGCCTAGCGAATTGTGTCGGCAAAAACAACTGCTGATTTGCACACAACAAATGCTCTAAAAATAGTTGTATACACAAGCCATTAAATCGTTTAATATAATTTTATTTATAAATCCAATTTAATTCGCGTTCGGCTAAATGCCAAGCGTCAACGCACAATCACGTGTGTGTAGCAGCTTCGGTGGGTCCACAATGGCCGAAAGCTTTTTCAATACCTGAGCTCAGCCTCCACAAGTACGGTGGTTACGCGATAAGAGGGATTTTCAATCTTAATAAATTGTAAACCTTAAAGAACCTACATTTAATAGGGCATTATTCGTTTTATAGTTATAAGTGCTTTTGTCAATTATCCAAATTTTAACCCAGAAACATCATTAAATATTTATTCATGTTAAAAATTAGATTACAAATAATATTTGAAATATTATATGTATATTTCCAACTCAAGATCTAGTGAACTGGATAATATATACCTTAATCTTGACTCGTTCCGATCACACACAGATAACACAGGTACACAGCCAAAAATTTCCACGAACCATTTCAAGTTTTCCATGATATTTGGGTGCTCCTGAGTAAAAGTCCCATACAAAATTATTTTCCATCACCTACAGGTTCCGCGGTATACCTAAGAATACAAAAAACCGATGTTTGCCGACATTTTGAATTACGTGGCCTATATAATTGGACTTACCTTTATTATTTTCGGTAGGACCTACTCTCAATACATCACGGCACTACTAAAAAATAGTCCCAATCGTGGACCATTGCCCATGTCTTTGGAATTCGACGCCAAAGTTGAAACTCCCAAAAATTTAAACTTTTCTGTAATGACAAAACAATTCTGAGAATTAAATCTTATATGGAACTAATTTTAAATATTCATTGAATCTATTGTTCATTGTATTCTTTAATTTCGGTTTAAAGCGTTTTCATGAGGACATTTTATTGGATTTATTGAACGAATAAAACCGCTTTTTTGGTTTGATTATCTACTACTATTTTCTGTCAAAATTCAAATAAGTCAAGGCAACCTATAGAATGCGAGTAAAAAATCTAAATTTATATTATATATAAAAAGATACATATGGGACTTTTACTCAGGAGCACCCAAATATCATTTAAAACTTGAAATGGTTCGTGGAAATTTCACAAAGTTTAATTTTGTGTTCCTGTGTAATTATTGTTTTAAGGCAAGTGAAACCGGTTGCTTCTACGTTAGCTTCTATTTCTTATTTATTTTAAATGTTTATTAAATTTAAATAAATTAAATAAATTGCTCAGCTTATTCAAGAATTTTTAAAAATATTTTAAAGCTTGTATTTACTATTTCAGCTCTAAAAATCAAGTCAAGTATTCATTTTTAGTTAGTTTTTACTGTTCCGGTAAGCGAACTCGTATGAATATAGCACAAATGTATTTGTAAGCCAGCCAGCAGACTTTAGTGTATTGTTGCTGTTGTTTTTTTTTTATAATATTTCTTTTTTTTTTTTAGTTTAACTTTTGTTTTTCTTTCGTTCGTCGTTCGTATTTTCGCTTCGTGTTGATCGTGCAGCTGTCTGAGCCTCTTGTTTTTGTTGTTTGTTGTGTGTATATGAGAGTGCCCACTCTGCTGCAGTCGCCACCTCTGCCACCGCCTCTGCCTCTGTCGACGTCAGCGGAGGCTATGAAAAAAAAGTTTTAAATCTGGTAGACAAATCTGAAACGAAACGCGTTTGTGGCTTCAGACGGCGAGTGGCAGTCGTGCAATACAGTCGTAGTATTCCAAAGTTTCCGAAGGCCAAAAAAAATTCCCCCTTCTGAAAAGTTGGTCAGGCAACTTTTTCAACCAACAACAGAAATCGCTGAAAAAAAATATACGTAAAAAATTCCTTTTACTCTGTAACGAATTTTGGAAAAATCCTTTACGTAAGTGAAGAGCAAATTCAAATCAAATTCAAAACCCGAAAAAAACTAAAGCAAGTGAAAAGTGTTTATAAAAATATATTGAATAGAAAGTGTGCTATGCCAAAATGAACAAATAACAATTACGAACTGTCAGATATCAGTTATCCTGGCTGGATACTTCCTTGGAATTTGATATCAGTTAACTGATTGTTGTTCCCCAATATCTTGTAGTGCTATAGATGACCGAGAAGGATACCGTCTCGATGACTACCGTTCAACTGAAGCCCGACTATGCGGCTAGCGAGGTCTACAGTACCGCCAGCGAGCCGCCACCGGTGAGTACAGTGAAGACTCGGTTTCCCTAGCCAAACCCCCTCTTTGTCTGTGACAAATGACGCAGTTAATTAAGGCTAAATTATTATTCTTAAGGGGCAATTAGTTGCGCTACTTTGGCATAGGGGGAAAAACTAGAACAGCTTTTCTATTTAGTGCAAATTTTTAGGGTAGAAACTGTTTTAGGTATTTCTTTAATCAGGTTTAACTCTTCAAATTCTTAATTTTTGATTAATAAATTTTAAATTTTTCGTGTACATTAAACACCCATTTCATTACTAGTGGAAAAAGTGGAAAAAAAAATCCAACGTTATTTACAGACTTTTTCAAACCCAAGAGTTTCTTATTTATTTATTTAGCTGACCCGCTCTCAACGTTTGATGGGCCAGCAGCCAAGTGGGTTAGAAAATGCCAGGGTCAGTCTGTGACTTATTGCATCCGCTTGCGTACCACGGAGCGTATGCGCAATGCGGCCTTTTCTCTGCACGCAGCTGCAAACGTGAGCTGCATTTCCACTAAAAAATCAGTCTGCATCGCATGCATAAGCAATTTACAATTTGCAATTTGCAATCTCTCCCCCTCCCAAACGAATCCGCCAACATTAATGTGCAATTTTAAAAATTATTATTATTGTCTGTCGGGCGAAGGTGCCCAGGGAATCGCATGCAACGTGAGCGGCTTTGACATTTTGATGCCAGTCTGCGGGTTGACATTTCCCTCTGTGTATCTCTGCAAGATACCAGATACAAGACACACTCACATCCCGGGGCTCCACCGAGCAATTCTCGACGAGGTGTGAATGGATCGGTGTATCCGATATAGTTGGACAAATAGAAAACCACCTCAATCCGAGCTCGGAGAGCTCTAATGCTCCAGTCACGACACCGCTAATAACGCAAGACGCAAAACCTAAACAAATACAGTACCTATATAGACTTTGACTTGTTCAACTTGTTTTCCTCCTATATATACAAAAATTATTAGATCTCTGGGTGGGTCTGTGTGTGTGTGTGTGGGTTAAATAAAAATTTGCATAAAGTGCACTTTACATTTTTTCTCATTTGGCATTCAGCAGTCAGCATCCGCATCAGCCATAAAATGATTTGTGCAGTACCATTCACGCGAGGGTTTCCCCTACCCAGTTTATAGAGTATATTTATTATTTTGTTTTATTTTTTGAGCCTCACTTGGGGTATAGTGAAAGCAAACAGTTATCTAACAGGCTCAAAGCAAGAGTTTTGCAATTAGAAATAAATAAACTTTAAACTTACATTTTTTATAGTATAATTAAGGTATAAACCTTTAATTGGTGCCCATAAAATTCTTTTTAATTGCGTTTTTATAGTCAAATAAATATGAATAATTTCCTTCTTGATTTCCCTAATTGCTTATAATTTGTTTTGCATTTATAAATGGATTAAAACGAGTCAATGACTTGGCTATAATTTATGGAGCCCAGTGCATGACCTTTCTAATAACTTGGTAGCCAGTCCATCAATCAATCAGTTGCTCAATCCGTCAATAGCTCTGTCTTAGCCTTCGCAGGGTGACCCTTGGCCAAAAGCTTTCCCTTTTGAGCATTATTTACCTTTAAGTCGAATGTGTTAGGTTTTTACCTCAAGTCGATAAAATCTCATTAACTTTTTGTCTTTGCTTGATTTTGTGTACTTTTCCCCCATAATGTGTGTGTGTGTGTGTATGACACTCGAAACAAAAACCGCAAAAATCGTTTTTCTTTCGCCTGTCAAAAAAGCAACAGAAATGTGAATGCAAAAACCGAAAAACAAAACCAAAACCATGATTGACAATATGAAATTTTCTCTATTCCCCCCCGCACCCGCCACAAAACACAACAACAACCCCCAAAAAACAACACTTAAAACCAACCACAGATGGGATTTTTTAACTTTAATCATCAGGTTTGTCGCTCAAGTCTTTTGTCTGCACAAAAAAAAAATTAAAACCTCATCAGTAGAGTAGAGTAGAGTAGTATAAAGTGGAGTGGATCCATTCACTTCCACTTCACTTGCCGATGATGTTCGTAACTCACTCACAATTCACTTTCGCAATTGCATTTTGGGGCCACACCAGCCACGCACGTAAAGGTGTTAAAAAAAAACAATAAAAAAGAAAAACCTAAAACACACATTGCACATTTCGCTGCACACACACATAACTGAGAGATACAGCCCCAAAAAGGAGGCCTCACCTCAGTGCACCCACACCCACACCCCCAGCCAAAAACGAAAACTAAAAAAAAACTTTAAAAACCAAAAGGCAACACGAAAACCAAAAAACCAAGAGCAAGACTCTTCAGTTTTCACTTGGGATTGCCATTTCCTCAATTTTGCGGTGCCTTTAGCTGGTTTCCTGTTATGCAATCGAAGACCTCAATGCGGAATAATTTGTTTTTCCCTCATTCATAGCAATATGTATATATAGGTATACCTACGCTTTAATATTTTTTTCTTTGTTGACATTTCTCTTCTGCGGCTTTTTGCATCAACTTGTAAATTTTTGCACCTTAAGCGGAAAGCTTTATATTAGTCACGGCGTAAATCTGCCAGAAAAGTAAATATTTGCGATGATCTAAGACGAGGTTAAGTCCATTAAAGTGTTTTATATAAATAAGCTTAAGAAAACATAGATCAATTCAAGCAGGGATCAAATGTTTTCTAGAATTTTGTACTAGAATCATTTCATAATTTATTCATTTTCATAAATTTAAGTCTTTAAATTAACAATTGCTATGCCTTTAGCTTTTATTTCAAATCTCATCTCTTAGCTGACTAAAATTTCTTGTAATTTTTGTAACTCATTAAGGGGGGATATACATGTAAACCAAAATTTTTTGGGCAAATTTTTTTTTTTGTTTAAAAAATAGTTTATTATTTAAAGAATATAGTGTGTAAGTTTTATTATCGAATTCCAACTCTAAGTGCCTCAAATCAAGTATGCACGCAAGGTTCACAAGTGTTAACGTGGGCGCATCAAAAACTTTAAACGTCTTTTTCTCAGCTTCTAATTTTTGCATTTCTACCTATGCTATGGACACGATTCACAAAAAACTATGTAACATATAGGAGTGAATCAAAAATTATTATGATCAGCATGAAATTATCTTCTATTTGAACCTACATGGTTGTTATAAAACAGAGTATTACTATTTTTTAAGAGGGTGGGAAGTGAAAACTATCCACCTGAAAATGACATTTTTTCCTTCAAATCAAAATTTATTTTTTTCGTCTTGATTTCTTTTTGGTTTTTTAGGTTCAAATAGAAGATAAAGGTGTAATGAATACAACAAAATTTAGTTTACGGATTTCGGACAGGAATTACGAGCTCTATCGTGTCCATAGCACGGCAACTCAAAGCTCGAGGCGCTACGGCATATGTTCCATAAGTCCGCCATTTTGTAAAATATTGTTTATATCTAATTTTTTTTATCATCTCTGATTCTACTTTTAACTATATCCAAAGTTTCATGACGATTGCTTGACTATTTCTTATAAAAAAAAATTCACGAAAAATGGCCAAATTTTGACCGCTTACATGTATATCCCCCCTTAAGCTTTTTTGCACTCCACACTCACCTATGGAAAATCCCCAAAAAAATAAAGACTTTAACCTTTTTCAAGGGGAAAACGTGCTGGGTCAAGTTAAAGAGTATTTTGTAGAGTAAGGTCACTGCTTTTACCTGACCCCCGAAAAACTAAACCAAAAACTACACACAGAGAGGTCATAGACAAACGGGCACGTAGAAATAATGAATTGCATTCAACGAAATATAATATATAATACCTCATGGCTAATCGTTTTCTTGTATTTCTTATAGGCCTACAAGCGCCAGGCGAACTCGGTGAAAATTGCCAAGATCACAGCCTTCACCATCATCGTCTCTTCCTTTATTCTGGGAGCCTTTATCCTGGCCTCGTCGTATCTGCAGGCCAAGGCGTCGTGCGATCAGGTCCAGGCTCTCGATTCGGTCCTAGAGAAGGAGCTGATGCTCGAAACTCTGCAGCAGGTGGGCAAGGTAAGTCGACAATATATATATCTATATACCATATAAACATACCCCAATCAGTACAATCCGTTGGGCTTCAATGATCCGCAGCTATGGCAGATTAGTATCGTGTTCGGACTCTGGGCCTTAAAATTATATAGTTGGGTAATAATGGCTCGCATCGTATGGCTGCACACGCCACAGGCCGGAGTTAGCTCCCGAAAAAAACTCGAATATTAAGGCAAATTAAATATAATTACCGGAAAATGTAGATACAACCTCGTGGTAGCCAAAAAATGTGTTCGCCTCTCGTGTGTAGACTCGGTGTAATTTCCCTGAAATTTTGTTGACTGCATGCGCTATTAGTTCCAATGGAACAGCAGTCTTGTGACAGGTACGAAATGTGATATGCGATATATAGTAGATATAACTTGATGATGTGGGAAATATATAAGAGATATAGATATGGCAACCGATTCTGATTTGTTTGGAATTTGTGGAAAATATAAGAGAAAGCAGAAGCTAAATGGTTATCTGTTTAAAAAGCTTTTAAAGAAATATAACTTTATATTGATTTAGACTATAGACTTTCAGTTTAATTAAAAATCACATGTCTGAGTCGTAAGACAATTAATTTTCTCTCAAGTTGTAATTGCCAGTAAATCACTGAAAACAACTTAATGGTTGTTACTCCACTGCCAAATGATTAACAACTCTATGAAATAAATAATTATGGCCGTTTCCTGGATATTTGTTTATATAAAAATCCCGCAAATACCCGGCAAACGATCACACCTTGCCACATAACTGCCAATTCAATCAAAAGTGATTGAATAAGCACTGCAATTTCGCATACGAATGTTCCGCAGGTAACAGCAGGCGAATAAAAAAATTACATTTTCTCAATTGTGTGCTTCCTTGAGAAATTTCACGCATGTAACCGTAACCAAATGGCCATTATAAAATAAAAACAAAAAGTGGTTACCACTCTTTATGGGTACACCGTAAAAACAATGGGTGTCTATGGATATAAAACGATGGATTGATGACGACGATGACGGGGCAAAGAGCAATAATTCAAATTTAATGACTTGGAGCCAATCATTTGCATTTCGTGTCATCAATATTCAATTAGCCGATATGGAAAGTGCAAAACGAAACAAATCATACGCGAATGTATTGGCCAGAGCCCAGTCGTAATTAGTTTCAATGCTGTGAATGAGGTTATTCAACCCAATGGAACTTATGTAAACGAATCGGAGAGCGATCGAGCGAGCCAGCGAATGAACCAACGAGCTGAGCGAATGCAACTATAAATTCAATCAAGCGAAATTCCCATAATTTGACGCTTAAGTGGACACCAAAATGGTGGAGTTTGCCTTTTGGAGCTTGCGACATAATAACCAGAGAGCAGCAGCAGCAGCCGCAGCAAACAATTGCGAATCAAATGCCAGATAAAGTGAAAGCAGCAGCAGCAGCAGCAGCAGCAACACAGTGGCAACAACTACAAACAAAACATGTTGCAAGTAATCCACTCAAGCGGGCGTGGGCGCAGCAATTGTTGCCGATGTTGCAGATGCTGCGGCTCCCAAATGCCAGAGATCATCAGCGGCTGCAACTAGAGATGGTCGGAAAAATCGTGAAAGTGCAATGCAACTTCCCTTCATGGTGTTATGTGATCAGCTCAGACATAATCCTCTCGAATGTATATACAAAACACACTTTTTATAAAGGCCCATTGTTGAATATATGATCCCAATTAATAAGATTGTCTTGGGTTTTAATGTGTAAGAGTGAAAGTTGCTCATTATTGTAAAGTCATCTTAGCTTGAGCTAAAAGGTGTAGCCAATTTTTTAAGGAAACTCTAAAAGGCTATTTGGATTAATGAGTAGAGTTTGTAGATATTTTGTAATTAAATTGTAATTAAAAATCCTATATGTATTCATATAAAAGATATGTATCGTATGCTCATAAATACTACTGTTCTTTCCGGCTCGAAGGACCAAAATGTATCAAGAGGAATCTTCTATAATTTATTTATAAATTCCTTTGTTCGTTTTGAAAAACTAATACAAATTCCTAAAAAAAATCCATCTAGATATGAATTATTCCTTTCCACGCAAATGCAGCTTCAAACACCTCCATCTGAGCGGAGATCTCTGGCAGATGAAGATCTTCTCACGTGACCATCGCTGGCAAAAGCCAAGCCATAATGCAATTTTGCTGTCATTTTTTTTTTTTTTGCCATGTTCGTTTCTTTTGCCGGCTGGCGCCGCTTGGCACCAACCAAATAATCAACGAAATAGCCAACCGACTGAGCAACCTTTCGGCCAGCCAAGCATCCCAGGCATCCAAGAGCCAACTTCCAGCTAAAAAGCCATCAGCAGCCGAGAGGCCAAGAGGAGTGGAGTTCCATTGTGGTTTTGGCCATTCGCCGTTGACTGTTTGCCATTTAAGGCGAGTTGCGCGCTTGAGTCTTTCGTTTTTTTCTATATAGTTTTTTTGTTGTTGTTGTCTTTTTGAGTTTGTCGTACTTGGTTTTTGGGACACAGCAAATGCTTTTTGGCCTGACGATTATGTAATATGCCGAAACAGACACACAGGCAGGCCGAGAGTGTCGAGCACATAGGTAAATATAATTTATCTGCTGTTGTGCAAAATTGGCTGCCAGAGAAGAAGAAAAACTTATTATGCTGGCTAGGCAAATGGGCTTTTTATGGATGATTTCCCTAAAGAAATTGCCTGAGTCGCCTCTAGAATTTCAATTGCAGTCGTCGCTGGCGACTGACGTGCGTCAGTCAGTCAGGTCTATAAATAAAAGTTTTGCAAAGATAAATGCCTACGTCTGAGCTGGACGTCTGTCAGTCATTTTAATTGCACAAAGCGTTCAATTTGTAATCATTTAATTGTCATCTTAATGCGACTCGAGTCGTCGCGGCCAGTCGATTCCCCACATGTCCCATCTACCACAAAAAAAAAAAAAAAGAAAACAAATTAGGGGCAGACACAAATGTTCTCTTTGTATTATAATAGATCTTATCTCCAGTGGCTGCTGGCCTTGAAATTCAGCTACGAATACGCAAAATAAACAATCAAATCGAGTGAACTTGTTTGTCGAACTGGTTGGGTTCGGTTTCGGTTTCAGTTTCAGTCTCTGTTTTATTTTTTTTTAACTGCTGTTTTCCTCTTACACACGATTTTAAAGTGAAATTTTCAGATTGTGTGTCACCTGGTTGGGAGCACTCATGTGACTCAGTTTTGACTCAGTTTTTTAATCTGCATATAGACGGGTTTGGCTGTTTGTTTTTGGGGATCAATGCGGTTTTTCTGAGAAGCTGTGAAAGGAAATTTCTTTTAATTTAAAGATTTTAAATTGTTTTGAGAAAATATATTAGAAAATGAACTTGAAATGAGTAACACTTAATTAAAGGGGCAATAAAGAGAAATAAATGGTAGTTTAAATAGGATATAATGATATTAAAATTATACTTTTTAAATATAATTTTAAATATTCTCTAAATGGAGAAAAGTAATTAAACATTTTGAAGTCAAATTCAAATTTATTTAAAATTCTTTTTATATTTTTAACCTTTATTCCGCCTTGCTCTAAATAATTTTCTTAAATTTTAAAAGAAAACCTCTACTTCCTGTTGTTCTAAAAATCATTGGAGATTGGAGAATCTTGAAAGGCAACCATTAAATAAATAACTCAAGCTTCTGTAGAGGAAATCCAAAAGAGAACTTGTCCCAGTTCAATGTCAACATCTTTTGTCAAGTACACGATGACCTGCAAACGAAGTCATCCATCCACAAAACCGGATATATAAAACATTATCCAATCTCTCCTCGGACTCGTAGCTCCACCCACCGCCCCCTCGTTCATAGCTGGCCATTAATGAGCTTCATATACATATATTTAAATATATGTACATATATATTTTTCGTTTGCCTATCTCGACGATTTTCCATTGTGGCTGGGCGTGAAGTATGCTCAGCCACGATCCACTGGCTCAGGTACGAACTCAGGTACTCAGGTATACATAGTATGTATATAGCCATTTGTTCGAGTGTGTGATTATGTAATTTCGTGGCTGTTTGCTGTTTTGTTTAGACTTCTCGACTACAAAAACAGCGACAACTACAAGTTTATTCCGATGGCATTTTACTTTTGGTTTCGGTTGTATGTAGGTTGGGGTCACATCTCCGCCGGGCAATTGCCACCAGGTCTCCATCTCAGTCACCGTTGCCGTCCCTGGTCCCTCATTGTTTCGAGCACGAAGAGCAGCAGGCAATAAAACCTGTAGAAAAACAGAAAAAACGTTAAAGAAAAACTCAAAAAAACAGTCGGCAATTGCAGCAGTTACAGTTGACGGCCCAAACAATTTTAAGTAATTTTTGAAAATTTTCAACAAAACGAAGAGAAAATTGCTTAAAGATGATCTAAGACTTGAGCTAGTTGGGCGTTTGGTAAGAATTTTATAAGGTCTTAAAGAAAGAAGATGATGTAAATATATTTAAGCTAAGGCCAGAGAAAATTATATTATCTAAGACTTCTTAAAAGACTTGAAATCTCATAATTTTGTATTTTAAATTGTATTTTTAGGAACTTCCCCGTGCTGAGCCTCTACTGGGTGCCGCTGGAACTGGCGACGAGTCCGAGCTGCAGAATCTGGATACAGAGAGCCGCAAGGCTGAGCATGCCGACAGCAATGATAAGGACAACTCGTACTCCGACAGCGATGAGGCCGAGGAGAAGTATCCTGGCAAAATGCCGCTCGAGCTGGACTTGAGCGACCTGGCTGCTGCCATTCTGCGCAACAACAAGAAGTAAGAAATCTTAAATATGTTAAAATAAATATATAAAAATGTAGAAAAATATACCAATATGCTAATTAAATGATTTTTTTTCCCCCCATAAGATCCCGCATGAACTGCGTGGTGGAGCGCAAGCACGCCGAGGAGATTGTCGATTCGCCCTCGAAGACCGTGGCCTTGCCTTTCGGCGTCAACCTGACCACCGACCCGAAGAAAGCCCGCATCACTGGCGAGCGCATCTCGATCTTCTGCGATGGCGGCGATGACAAGGAGAAGGAGGAGAAGGAGGCCAAGCGCCAGCGCGAGCAGGAGGAGGAGGACTCTGATGAGGATGTCGAGCCTCTGCGCCCCATGTTCATTCCCTTCCAGCGCGTGAACATTCCCTTTGGCCGCATTCCCGATCAGATGCCGCTGACCCATATGCCCCAGCGTATGATGCCCCCGGCCATGCAGATGCACCAGCAGCTGCCCCAGCAGCAGCAGCAGGGACCCATCATCATCCGCCAGTTGCCGCCTCCGTTCCAGCACCTGCCCATGCGCCCTCCTATGCCGCCGCAGGTGATGCAGGCCCCTCGCATGGAGTCCTCCGAGGAGATGCAGATCCCCAAGATCCAGACCCTCCGCATTCACATGCAGCAGCTGCCCTTCCGCGAGATCCATGTGGCCGATGATGTGCCCGTCCAGATTCCCGCCCAGCAGCAGCAGCGCCAGGAGATGCAGCAGCGTCAGGAGATGCAGCAGCGCCAGGAAATGCAGCACCGTCAAGAGATGCAGCACCGCCAGGAGATGCAGCAGCGTCAGGAGCAGCGTGACATGCCCCAGATCCAGATCCAACCCATGCCCTTCGGCATGGCCCTCCAGCGCGTCGGCATCACTCCCGAGGATCTGAGGAACATCCAGCGCATGGCTGAGGATCGCATCACCGACGAGCTGCGCCGTCTGGCCGCCGAGGAGAATGCCGAATCCAATGAGGGCAGCGAGGAGGATGTCTCCTCATCCGCCGAGCAGGCCACCACCGAGTCTCAGTCCCAGTCCCAGTCGGCGGTGCCCCAGCAGCAGCAGCAGCAGCAGGCTCAGGCCGAGCAGCAGCAGCAACAGGAAGAGCAGCAGCAGGAGTCCCAGGAGCGTCAGGAGCAGCCCGAGCAGCCGCAAATGCGCATCCAGCGACTGATCCTGCAGCCTCTGCCTGAGCAGCCCCGCGACACCATGACCCCGCCCATGCCCGATCAGCCACAGCAGCTGCCCTTCGGACGCATGGTCTATGGCCGCAGCCTGGCCACGCCCGTGCGCATCCCAGTGCCCATGATGCAGGCCATGCAGGAGGAAGGACCCGCTGCCCAGGAGGAGTCCCAGCGACCACACTGTGAGTACAGAGATACCAGAAGTAATAGTAGTACCAGAAGGAATACAAATTAAAAATTGAAATAGCAGTCTCTGAGAAAACTGTAGTCTGCTTTATAATAGAATAATTAATAAGTAAATTAATTTATTGCTCCCTTCTCAAATTTTTCCATTATGAGAATTACTTGCTGAACTTGATTTATTAACGAATCGATTCCTAATTAATGATTCTCACCATTTAATTAGCCTTGAATCAAGACTAAACAATCATTAAAATGGATGAGCAAAATCTAAAAATACTCTAGTGCTTTCATTGTTTATATTCTTTTTTTTTTGTATTAATAAAACTTGATTTTTGTTAAATTTCTAATTTATGCATCCTTTCACAGTCGTCCAGCCTCGTTCCGTTTAAGTAACAAGAAGACCACGCCTGTGATTGCTGCTGTGCGAATCGAATCTCGACGAGGGGGAAGAGCGAGAAGAACTAGGAGAAGGAGTCATCATGTCACCAACTAAACCCGAAGAATCTATTGAATTGTAACCGAGTCGTCTCGATTTGTTTTGTTATTAAAGCAGCTTAAAACAAAAATATGAAAAAAACACCAAAAGTATAACAAGAACCTTTCAAAATCTTCTTTCTACCATTTTGGGCCTTCTTCTAATCCTCTTTCTCTATATATTTCATATTTGTATATTTTATATTACTCCGTGTATTACATTCCAATCAACAAAAACAACAATACAACCATGAAAAAGAAAGCAACTTTCTGTGAAAAATTAAGAAAATTATGAAAGTTTTCCAAGTGTTTTTTCTTTCAGTTTTTTTGAATTGTCAACAGTTTTGTTTTCACATATACACGCACAAATAAATCCGATGGAAATTTTTGTACATAAATTATTATCGTATTTTTAATTAATTAATTGTCTTGTGTAGTTGTTAGTAAATTAAGAACGAAGCTGAAGCTGAAGCTGATCTGAAATAATCTTGATATAATCAAATTCAAAACACAAACGACAGCAAACAGAAATTTGTAAATTTTTTTATAAATATATATATTTTTACTATATACACACACACACTTTTTGAAGCGAATAAAATTGTGGATAATTGGAAATCAAAAACATAAAGTATTTCAATAAACTTGGGGGAAAAAAATGAAGGATAATAGGAGGGTAAGGGTTTTAAATTTTAAATAAAAGGAAAGTAGGAAGAAAATAGGTATATATTTTGCCCAAAAAGTACACTAATAATCGGCTTTACTTATCGAAAAAGCCATGTCTGATTTGAAAATAAGTTCAATCTAAATTTTCAATAAAAATTGTATAAAATAAAACAAGTTTTTTTTTGCATTGTTTAAACTTTATTTCTTTACGTCACTAGACATGCTCTTGTTTTCTTTTAGATACCGCTCAAATTATACAAATTCGCAAAAGTCTAACAATATTTGTTGTATAAGTTTTACACTCTATCGTTCGTTTTTACAATCTTTGTGCTTGTCGTTTAATTTTCTTGTTGTTTTTTATGTATATAGTATATATATTTAGATCAGGGTGTAAGTTATATGCTGGTATATACAATTTTTGCATGTGCACAAGACAGAGGTTAACAACCGAAGTCAGCAGCGACCGTTGGCGCAGTGATTTTCTTTGATTTCCTTAATAATTCTTTACAATTACATCTTGTATACAGAAGATGTGTATATATAACATAAGTGACTAATTGTAAGTTGCATTGACGAGTGGGTAGATATCTAGGGGGTTCTTCTTGATTTTCTTTTTAGGTTTTTTCTGGGTGGGGTGATGTACAATACGTTTTCGTAGCGCTCTTTCGTAATAACTAAATTCGTCTAAGCCTTAAAAACAAAACACATACACACACGCTCTGAATACAAATTACAGTGTTTCATAACCAAAAGAATTATGAGGGCAACACATATCATGATGGGATGGCAAAGGCGCGGAGTTGGAAATAAAATGTGGATCTAAACATATAATCTTTGTTCCTGGTCGGACTCACTCATCACTTGTATCACTGATTGATTTCCGATTTAGTCAAGTTCCCTTATCCTTTTCGTTTTCTTCTCTCCTCCTCCTCCTCCTCCTCCTTCTACATAATTCTCGTGTATTTCTAGGATGTAAAGCTGTAACAACGCGAACGCAATTCAATAATATGATAGTAAATATTAGCACTTCCTCTCTTCGTTGACTATGACTACTGGGTTTTGGGGGGTGATGGGGCCTCGTCTAGCCATTCTCGCACTGGTGACCCTCGCAGTTGCCCCAAAAGATGCAGTTCCCAATGCCGCTGTAGCAGATCAACGAGACGGCGGTTAGGAAGACCAGGCTACAAATTGTGCAGGGCTTCCGCTCCAGAAAGAATCCCACTAGGTATAGCACGATGAACATCACGTGCGTCTCCATGAGCGCCGGATTTGTGGGTTTCGGTATCAGCAGCACGGGCAGCAGGCATTGCAGGCAATACATTGTGGGCGTTCCTCCAGGTGCTTCAGTTCTCTAAGCGGCGCGGGTGGTGGTGATGATGGTGCTGAATGTGCTTGCGGATGTCTCCCTGCGCTCCTGGCCAGAACGTTGACGTGGTCTTTGGCGACCTGCAAGCGAATGGGCCGGGGTTTAGTCTTAATGATTCTATAATTACTACCTATGGTTGGTCCTGGGCAAAGGCCACACACTTGGTACTGGCTTCCACCTCAGGGGCTCGCATTGTGGGATTACCTCTCCTCCAGCCGCTGGCCTCTCCGATATCAGCTTGATTTTCGCTCGTTTCTTGTGCGTCGTTTACTATATTATCACATATTTACCCAAATGCTACCAAAGTAGAGGAGGGCTAAAGTTGACAACAACAAACCACAAATTGGAGAATTCGGGCTATCGATACTATCGATATTTCTTTAGAGGAGATGCTCCGATGTTTCCATTTTTCAAGCTAGAAATAATAGCAATTCTTTGAATATTTAAGAATTATTTAATTTAAAATTACAAAAAATAATTAAATTTTAAAAATATATCCAATTTTAAAAATAAAATATTTTAAATACAAATTAAAATTAATTCGAATTTCAGAGCTGGTAATAGTTTGGGAATTAATGATTATGTTTAATTATTTAAACATTTGAATGCTGTTTTGTTTTTTAATTGCTCCCAAAAATATATTTATTTAGTAATTTATTTAAATAATTCCTTTCTAAGGTCTATAATATATTTATTTAATAACTTGGAAGAAAACCCACTGTTTAATAAAATAAAATCAAATTTCCCAAATGTACATATGTATGTATTTATGTTTATATTTCACTAATTTTTTTAGTTTAACAAAAATTTACAAATGCTGTAGACAATAATTAATAACCAAAATGTGATGAAAATGGGCTACAACTCAATAATTTTGTATGAATTCAATTGATGGTAAAATGAATTATCCACATTTTTCTTAAAGTAGATTGTTTTAGATTAACAGGAAGACCGTTGTTAATGATGTGCACAGTCAGGTTATTTCGATATGAAACATGATACATACAAGCTTGTCATATGGCAACAGTTGATGAGCCTAATAAAAATAAAGCTACTGTTTCTACCTTCAAAATCTGTACTATTATTTCCAGTACAGCGTGTTGGCATACAACGAAGGAACGGTGGCCAGGGGCAACAAATAAACCCAGCCAGCAAAGCCGGCTATATAGAGCACAATGGCCAGAACACGTCGCCAGAGATCTTGCTGCCACAGATCCTGGATATCCGGCAGACCCATGTGGTTGCAAAATGCATGCACCAGGAAGGGAGCCACCAAGTGACCTGTTCTAGCAAACAGGTACGCTGAATAGAACCCAAACAAGGTAGTGTAGGTGAACTGGAATAGACCAATCATCAAGGCAGTGCTCAGTTCCACTCCCAGACTCAGTCGCTCGGCAATGTGGTGCAGGTGGGCCACCCCAAAGAACAGAGGCGTGATGAAGACGGCCACCACGGGTGAAAAACTCTGCAGAATCAAAGGCATCATGCAGGCTCGGAACACAAACTCTTCGCTCAAAGGGGCCATCACATGATTCCGCACCCAGATAATGCTGCTGAAGGATCCTCGCCAGTAGTCGACATCTTAAAAAGAGGGGAGAATTTATAAACAATTATTTAATCAATTAAATTACCCACCGAAATATGAGCGTATGGACTCATTCTGCATGTTGACAAAGATGGGTCCCAGGAAGAGGAGGGCCGTGAGGGCATAGGGTATCACCACAGCCTGCCACAGTCCCTCCAAGCGGAATCCCAGCAGTTTTGGGAACGGCTCTCGCCTCAGCAGTTCCGGCGATGAGAAAAAGTATACAAAGAAGGGAGCCACTAGCATCACCATTGACACGCTGACAAATCTTCTCTTGACTGTCGTGGGATGATCCCGGTTGTGTTTCGTGTTCCAGATATACAGACTTCCCACGTAGAGCAGGGCCAGCACGAAGCAGCAGCTCACGGAGGTGACCACGGGGATTTGGGGCAGTTCATCTGGCTCTGCCGGCAGCGGTGTTCCAATCTTTTCGCTCATATTGGACATCTAAACGCGGGTATTCGTCATTCTTTAGATTAGCCGAAGAGTAAGTACACAAACACAGATGTTTTGCAGCAGTGTGACCGTTACGATAACACTGTTATCGATTAAAAGTATTTAGAACTGACGGGAAAAATACTAAAAAGCCAACACTGATAAGAAGCGTGCGGCGGCGGCGGTGACTTTTGGTTGCGTTTTTTAAACAGTTATTGCTGATAAAGTGGGCCGGTTCATAAAAATAAATTCATAAAAATTGCCACAGAGAAATTAGCAGCCGCCAAATAACACCCAAGATGTCGTTTTTCCTGAAGGCAGCCGTCACAGCCCGCAACATCGTTCATAAGGTTTCCCATCTGCTTAACTCTTCGCCAAAGAGAACTTCAATTGACCTTTGTCTCCGCTTTGTTTATCTTCCTGCTGCAGGTGCCCGTGCGCCATTTGAATCTCCTCGAGTTCCAGAGCAAGGATCTGCTCCAGAAGTACGGCGTGGCCATTCAGCAGTTCAAGGTCTTGGATAACTCCAAAGCCGATGCCGAGGTGGTGAAGACATTTGGTAGGTGGTGGTGGTGACCATATTTCGGGGTTTATGTAATCTTTAGCTAATTGATGTTAAATGTGTGTTTTTGTAGAGTGTCCGGAGTATGTGGTGAAGGCGCAGATTCTGGCTGGTGGGCGTGGCAAGGGTACTTTCGACAATGGATTCAAAGGCGGCGTGCATATCACCTCAAAGTAAGATATTAATGGTGTGTGTTCTGGGTTTCAATTTCGTTAAATTTGCTTTAAAATTGCTTAAAATATAATAACAGCTTTAATAATATTTGGATAAAAAATACCACTAAGTAAACTATGCAATTTTTAATTCTTTTTAAAAACTCAAGAAAAACCTGTTGAATTCTCGATTAGATAAATTTTTCCCTATATATTTTAAATAGGTTCAAACACAAAGCATTATCGCTACGATAAGAAGATGCTTATCACATTATAATTACTATTTTTATGATTATTTAATAACAACTTAAACATAAACTTTCCCTGTACTTTGATTCTCAATATGATAACACTTTACAAAACCCAAAACAGACCCCCAAATACACAATTGATAAGGCACGATTCTATTATAATTATTTGTACTTTCGGCAGCAAGAGCGAGGTGCTTTCGCTCAGCCAGCAGATGATAGGAAACCGGCTGATAACCAAACAAACGCCCAAGTCTGGAATTCTGGTCAACAAGGTCATGGTGGCCCGCAGTGTCAACATTACCCGGGAGACGTATCTCTGCATCTTGCTGGATCGCGAGCACAATGGCCCCGTGCTGATTGCCTCGCCGGCGGGCGGTGTGGATATTGAAGCTGTGGCCGAGGAGACCCCTGAGAAAATTAAGACTGTCCCTTTGGATATTGACCAGCCCATTCCGGAGGCCACACTGGTGGAGGTGGCCAAGTTTTTGGAGTTCAAGGGAGATGCCGTGAAGCGTTGTGCCGCTGAAATTCAAAAACTCTACACTCTCTTCAAGGCCGTCGATGCTGTTCAGATTGAGATCAATCCCCTGGCGGAGACGGACAAGGGCGAAGTGATCTCTGTAGATGCCAAGCTCAACTTTGATGACAATGCTCAGTTCCGTCAGAAGGATATCTTTGCCATGGATATCACCGAGGAGGAATCCGATCCCCGGGAAGTGGAGGCGGCCAAATACAATCTGAACTACGTAGCCATGGACGGCAACATTGGGTGTCTGGTGAATGGCGCTGGCCTGGCCATGGCCACCATGGACATTATCAAGCTGAATGGCGGTGAACCGGCCAACTTTTTGGATGTGGGAGGCGGCGTAAAGGAGGATCAGGTGGCCAAGGCGTTTGAGATCCTCACAGCCGATCCTAAAGTCAAGGGAATCCTGGTCAATGTTTTTGGGGGCATCGTCAACTGCGCCACTATTGCCAATGGCATTGTGGCGGCTTCCAAGAAGCTGCAACTCAATGTACCGCTGGTGGTTCGACTGGAGGGCACCAATGTGAACCAGGCCCGTGAAATCCTTAAGAATTCCGGCTTGCCCATCCAGACGGCCAGTGATTTGGATGATGCCGCCCACAAGGCAGTGGCTGCTCTGAAATAGAGTGGATTTTAATGTTTATTTTAAAAGAGAAAGGAAGGATTTTTCAGCAAAAAGTCTTCCATAAAAATATCAAGACGCACATTAGCATTTACAATGGACAGGCCTTTAAAATATATAATTTATAATTATATATAATATAAGTTTTTATCGACAATATATCCGGAATATATTATTTTTAACAAAAGAGTATTTTGTATTATTTTGGAGCAGTTAAACTGTTAAGTCTTGATTAATACAAAAAGAAGCGAAAACAAATTGGATTTTTACAAAAAATTGTTTTAAATTTTTAGACAGAGTTTGACTTGGTTTTTACATATATGTAAATACAGTTTTTTTTAACTTAACTTGACATTTTCTGTTGTCCGCTACTTGTATAAATAATTATAAAAATAGTTAGATAAAATTTTTAAATATATAAAAATATATTCAAAAATACCAAAAAATACCAATATCGATATTTTGACAACACGATATAATTATATCTTTTTTAGATAAAAATATCGATAGGTTGTTATTTTGGATATATTTTCCCCATCCCTAGTCCACACCCAAAGCCAGCAACCAAACAAACACATTCCTCGAGGAAAACAGAGAAATTCACTGAATTTCGAACTCAAAGCATGCAAAAATCGTCCCACTTTGCACGCGAGGATTCCCAGGAGCACCTGCCCAGCAGCCAGACCCACAACACGGTGAACATGAAGCGGCGCACCCTCTCCGGAAGCTGTGGCGTTGGCGTCTTCGTCTTCGCGTTCGCCTTCATTGTGATTGCCTTTGCAACGCCCAGTTGGTTGGTGAGCGATTATCGCATCACGGGCGCCAAGCTGGACCGTTTGGGGCTTTGGGTGAACTGCTTCCGTTCGCTGCCGGACGTGAACGATGACAGCCAGCGGCGGTTCTTTGTGGGCTGTCGCTGGGTCTACGATCCCTTCACCACGGGCTACGATGAAATCAGGGGCTTCCTGCTGCCCGCCTTCATGATAGCCACCCAGTTCTTCTACACGCTGGCCTTCATCGGGATGCTGGTAAGTGCCATCGGAGTGCTGATCTTCTTCCTGTGTGCTGGCCCCGATCAGAAGCACTTCATCACGCTCATCCGATCGGTGGGTTATGTGCTCCTTGGCTCCGGCGTGAGTGCAGCCATTGCCGTGATTGTGTTTGCCTGTTTTGGCAATCGGAATGGTTGGATGCCGGAGCATGCAAACAATTGGTTTGGCTGGTCCTTCGTCCTGGCCTGCGTGGGCACGGTCTTCACCTTTGTGGCCGCCACCTTGTTCCTCAGCGAAGCTCATGTCCAGCAGCGGAAGCGGGTGCAGTTCAAGGAGTCGCAGACGCGATTCGAGCTGGTACGCGGATAGTTGCGGGTAAGTACTTGGCCATATCCAAGTCATGGTCGCCGGTCTGACCTCCGTCTTTGTTTCTTTTTTTCAGACGCAGCAACTAGCACACATTTGCACTAAGGAAAACAAGAATCTACAAAGACAAATTTCAGAGAAAAAAGAAACAAAAACATTCCGTCCCCACGAAGAATTCTCACATTCTAACAATTGCAGTCGAACTTGAACAAGTAGGAACTGTATGCTAGCCAAGCTCTACAGAAGCTTTTTTATTATTTGTTTCCTGGTTAAAAATTAGCATTATTTTGTGTTAAATGTATGAATCTCATATGCAATTGGCCATAAAGTGAAATAGTTTATTGAAATCTAAGAAAATCTTAAGGAAAATTGGAATTCTAATTGATTAACTTCAAGAAAGTGTAATTTTTATATGATAGATACTCCGAAAAAAGAAATTTTCCTGTTCAGAAGATTACAAATCAACAAAGAAAGGTTTCATAAAACTTAAAATTACTTAAATTAAAATACATGTATTGTTTTTGTCTCAAATTCAAAATGTTATAACAAATCATAGAATATTTTGAGTTATCTTTGTAATCCTTCAATTCAATCTGTTAATGTCAAAATATCTTAAGCTAGGTTAACATTTTATATACCCAAAAAACATATCGAATATTTATTCCAAATAGTTTAGAGTTCCATTTAGAGAAGTTCGACTGTAAAGTTTAGGTTTTTAGTTAAAAAAGTTTATGCAATTGACAGACAAAACACAGTCATCCCTTCAGTATATTCAGAATATTCAGTTTATGGTACTTATCAATCATCCATCCAATCGACCAGAACAATTCCAGACGAAGACTGAATGTTTTTCCGAATATGAAAAGCACATCGATGCACAGCAAGCAACCATCAAGGGAAAGACGCTCAAACAGATGACGCATAAGTAGAGTAAAATGCGATAATATTTGCATAACAATTTTCGCTCAATTAACGCCCAGAGACAACAACCAGACACAGCCATTCCCCTACAGCAAAATGTACCTACCATTTACTTTACTTTACTTTTTTTTTGCAAAGTCGCAGGCTAGTCGGAAACTAGCAACGAAATATTACACTCGTGCCTTAATTAGAGAGAGAGATAACTATTTTGGTATAGTTTATAGTGCCTAAATACAAATTATAATTATTGTTAGTGATACCTGACCTGATGACCGACTACCTGCGACCTGCAACCACACCCAAAAGATCTATTGGATTGCATAAACTTGTGCTAAGCATAGTGCCTTAGTTAAGTGACCCAGAGAAAGCTAAGCGAATCACATTCGTCCCTTAACTTTAAGCAATAATCATTCCCTTTTTACTCGAATATAACGCACACGACTACCTACCTTCTTTTGAAGGTAACTTAGAATCTGTATTAGTATTTATCCGTCCTCTGCACAATGCTTTACAAAACTTGTATTTGTAGCATATTCTGAACCAGGAATTTAGCAATGTATTAAAAGCAAAAAACAAACGTCTTTTAAACCATATACAATTTAATATTTGTAACGTCTTTTATGTACAAACGACTTGTAGCTAAAGCGAAGAAAAATAAAGTTTTTATTGTATACAACATCTGAATGACTGCATCTTTTGAGCGAGTTCAAGGCAGGGCCTGGGGCTCCGAACAATGAATCCGCCGCTTCCAAGTCACTTTGGTGCATTCGACTAAGTTTTCCCATGGCGCTTGCATTTTGGGAAATCCGAACAAACTTTTTGTTGTTGCTGTTGTCAGCTTTTGTAGCTGCTGAGGCAATGCGTCGTCGTCGGATATGCATCGGCCGACTGGAGTAACAATTGATATCCCAACAGATTGTGGGCTGAGCCATGTGTCACGTTGCGATGTCGAAGTCATCTTTTTGTGTTGGATTATTCAAAGAGTGATGGATAAATAATGGTATTAGGACATCGGAAATAAATTACATTTAATAAGGAATTAAGTATTGTAAGCTTCTTTCATTATTAAAATCAAAGCTAATATGTTCGAAGGTGATTTTCCTTAGGCAAAGTAAAAATTAAAGCTATCAAAAGTATTTGCTGAAGAAATTAATTGTTTTCAAGCAATTTAATATAAATATCAATGAATTCAATTATTTCTAAATATATTTTTTGGAAATTTTTGGCAATTTTTTACGATGTAACCCCTTATAAATATTTGAAAATATGTTGACATTTTTTGTTGTTAATTTTTGGAAAAAAAACCTAAAAAATTCATTTTGGACAGCTGTACTGAGTTAGTTTTCACAAGATCAATAAATCTGCATACTGAATTTATTTTAAATTTTTGAAAAATCAAAATTAAAAAATCTATAAGCCAAAAGGGCTAAATTAAATTCGAAATGCGCCTTTGTTTTTATTTTTATAAGGTTAATAAAAACCTGGTTTTAAAAGTAATTAAATGTATAAAATATGTCTAGTGTCTTAAAAATCGCAACAATAAAGTGGCTGTGAATGCTAAACATAAACCTTAAAACATTTCATTGTATACCACGAAACGTTAGGTTCTGTTTTAATATAAGAAAGTCCAGGGTATCTCTCTGTGGAGCCCACTCGTCTCAACCTTCCCTACTTGTTCCATTCCATATTCTTAAATAGGTTTCTATTAAGAACATAATCTGTCATTTGCATATTTTAATTTTAATTTACACAGCTTAATTTGATGATAAATTATGAATGCCGAACGTTTAAGCAATGACCTGTGAATAATTGAATTGACCGATCTTTGACAAGGGTAACTTTCAAAAGCCTTAAGCTTACGAAACACTTGATTAATTGTGCATTTAAAACGGCACAGAATTCAATATTTGAACTGCGAAGGCTTTACTTCGACCGCCTTTCAAATCTTCCAAGAACCCACAAAACTATTAGATCATTTTGTCAACAATATCTGGCTCACTCACCACTCACCCGGGCACTTAAAATGTCTTTTAAATGGTAACCATAACAAAATGAAATATATTAATTTATCTGGCTTATAAAGGCATAATTAGTGGAACTGGTGTTTAGAAATCTCGGACTGAAAATTCCCCCACCCACGTTCTTGTGACCCGACATGGCAATGACATTCAGGGAAGAGACGGAAAGAAAAATTGATCTCTTGCGTGATTTTTGAGGACTTGCTGAAGCGTGAAATCTGGCGAAGCTAGTGCGGATTGATGGATGGATTAATGTGCAGATTCGCTACAGATCTGATTAGCACGAAACCAAGTCGAAGTCGAGACAAACCGGACGCCCCATGCCCCATGACTGACTCCGGTGAGCGCGGCGGCCTTGGCGAGAACTGCACAGAAATATGTGCTAAACGCAAATTTATTTACGGACTTTATTATGGCCACCATATCGAGTGAGTGAGGAGCAACGAAATTCACATTCATATCCACTTTGGCGTGACCTCACTTGCCGTTAGCCGGACGAGCAAATCGGCTTACACCCATGATTACACGGAACGGATTAAGAACTTGAAAATACGAGTAATTCGGGATTAAGCCAACCAACCGATTGTGTGTGTGTGAAAATTGTCGAGTTCTGGTCGCTCAGGGTTCTTCTGCCTGGCAATTACGCATTTTTTGATTGACGGACGGACAGCTTCGAAATCCCCTTTTGGAGCAGTTTGCTGATTACATATGATTTAGGAGACAGCGTAATTATCAAGTGTTCATGGGAAATTAGCATGCACGAAAATCATAATTATATTTTCTATGGCATTTCAGTTAATGTTTATGCATATATTCATGGCAAATAAATTTCAAACTAATATATATAAATACATTTTATTATGAAAAGAAGACACAACGGAGGGGAGAATAAATTTTTGCTTAATTTGTTTAAAGAGGTTTCAAGATTTTCCATTTGCATAAAATGCCATGCCACCACATACATACGGTAGAACAAGAATCTAAAGTTAATTCCGAGACCGAGACGATGCTTCATTAACAAAAGGCAATAATATACCTGTTCTTAGGCGCTGGCCAGAGATTAATTGCCATCGCTTTGGCCACAATGAAGCATTTTGCATAATATTTTCAATCAAATCGAGCGTCAATGAACGCTTCTACACATTGAAATTAAAAGTTGTCGGTGGTATTAAGAAAAACCTTAAATCGAAACCGAGAGTTTCGTTTGGGCCAGCGATTACGCAAAGGTCTCAAAAATAAACTGTTTATAATCAATAAGCAATGGACGATAGCCATTAGATTGATTACTGTTTGCCACACGCAAACTTTCCTCCAATCCACTCTTTTTTTTCCCTCTGAAGTTTTGAAGTTTTGTCTATCTATAAATATTGATTGAGCCCGTGAAGGTCGGGCTTAGTCCGGGCTCATTAAATCTTTATGGTCACTGTCGGTTTTATTTTATATTTTTTGAAATAGAACCATAGAAGTTCTATGGCATTTTACACAAATTGGTCTTGGATCATTTTAAACGAGGGGCGGCTTCTGCTGCTGGATTAACTTGTCCAGCTTAATGGGATTCATCAGTTTTAAGAGCTTTCCTTTCTGGTCCGATCCTAAATGTTTATATATATTTTTAGAGCCCGATCTGTTTGCTGGTTTGCTGGTTTCTTGGTTTGTCGTTCTGCTGACGTTGGTAATTAATGGGGAATTTATTTGGATTCTTGTTTTGGGTATCTTAAACGAGATTAGCATGCTTATAAAAGTTTCATAAGAGTCGGGAGTGTTTAGTGTGCAAAAAAAAAAAGAAAAAGAAGCAAGTTTGCATCATGAATATGCAATCGAAAGGTGGAAACATTTCTTTATGGAGTTGAATGAAATTCATTGTCTGGTTATATTCTGCACGGGCAACTAACTCTGAGGCAAAACGAAAGCGGAAAGATAAAATGAAACAACTTGTATTTATATATATTTTTAAGCTAAAAATTATAAAGGAAAAAAACCCCAAAAATCTGGGCGTGTTCAGAACAAATTAGGCTTGCCTTAAAGCCAGTATTTAAATTTATTTTAATCGCTTTCGATGATGAAAGTTCTTTCAGCTTGAAAGCGAAAGTCTTTCTCTAGAAATTTAGAATTTGCTTGCTTCTCTGTTTCTGCATTTGTTGAAAGTAAAAGCGCCTTTAAGCGGATTAAATTTTATCAATATTTTGCTTAAGATATTCAGATTTCCCATTTACATGTTGGCTTTCGTATTTCAAAACAATTGCTCGCCTTGTCAGATTTTCAATTCGATTCCAAAATATTAATCATCCGTGGCAAATGGACCACCCGCAGTTTAAACCATTCAAAGTCTCACCTCATAGCTGACACCGTCTTTAGAATACGTATGAGTATTATATAGACACAATGTTGTGCGTCAGCAAGTTCCTTGAACTTCACACAGTCACCTAAAATAGATGAACGTGGCAGGGCGAGAGCGCTGAGACAGTTTGGTGGCTTTTAGTTTAAACACGATGCTTAGTTATTATAGAATATTATATCACACGGCATAACCAGTATACCCTGGCTGACCATAATTCTGGCGACCCGCGATATTATCATTCAAATGGCCCAGCCCCAGTCCCAGCATCCACAAGTGGCCAATCCGGACACGCAACATTTGGGCGTCACACAAAAATAGTGCCTGAGCCAACAGATCATTAGATATGCTCCTGCTCAAGGGAGGAGGAACACAAACCGGAGACAAGGCCATAACTTGTATGTAAAAGACACTTCATAACACTTTCAGATAAGAAACGCGCCTGAGTTATGAAAGAAAAGTGCCATTAACACTCCATGTCGGCTTAGAACGGGTTCAGGCTGGCTCTTAAAACTAAACTAAATTGAATTCACATTCAAATTTATGCGCACACATTTCGCCCGAATCAAATCGGCAATGTTTTTGGCAAATAAAACAAGCTACCTACCAATCGAACTTTGATTAGAATCCAGAAAATAGAGAATGTGGTTTTTTCTGGCCCCGCCAATCGTAAAAGTTCAGTTGATTGGCTTTTTGAATTTTAAGATTTTATATATTTGCAAGATTTTGTTTTTATGATCTGATTTTAAGAGAGCTTTGTGTGCTGATGATGAACATGAGAATGGATCAAAAGTTGCCTAATTGAATTATTTCTATGCTAATTTGTGTGTTTTCCTGCACCGAAATAGATCGTAAAATGTTTGCTCTCGCGTTGTTTCTTATGGGCTGCTTTGCTCCCCATTAATATGAAAATGTGACACCTGAGAGGTAGGCAAATATATCAACTTTTCGGCTTAAAAGGTTGCTTAATTTTGAACACTTCTTTACTTTAGTTAAAATTAATGTTTGTTTTTATTTGTGCGAAGCCTCAATGCCACTGGTTTTATTTTATTTTTGTATTTCGCTTCAGTTTGAATTCCTTAAGAGGCGGTTTCTTCTGGCTTGTATTTCCTGGCCAAAAAAACATATACGTGAGCCGACGCATTATATTTCGATAAATCACAAAAGATAAAGAATCTTTGCTAGCAGGTGCGGCGTTTAAGAGGTGTCTTAAGAGGTGGGATTTAATTGGAATGGAATCCTCCGGTTTGATTTTGTAAAAACAATCGTTAAACTTTTTATGGACTAATCGTCGCCGCTCGAGTTGAAATTTCTGCATTTTAG